CGACTGGTAGGAACTGGCTTAAAATTAATGAAAAAGGTCTAATTCGAATCCTGAGTTTTGCCGAGTACAATGCAATACCATAAGATCTATTGGAATCTATTTCAATGCACAGGCAACTAAAATTTGTATAATAGGCAAGAATTACCAATTGTCACAAAATGGAATTTTAGCTAAAGATGAGGAACTTTTTTTTGTAGTCTGCCTAATTATTTTGGGTGCAGAGGGAAGAAACCTGGCCAGCTAGGTCAGGTCGTAGGTAGTGCTACGCCGTGTTTACTCTGGGTAGAAGATTAATGACAGTTTGGTTCCTTGGTTATGTAACTTCGGCAATCCTTATGCCTAGACCCATATTGTAGAAGTTGCTAATCTACTTCTCCGACTCCCTGCACGCGTAATTGCGTTTATCCTTTATTATTCTCTTAGGGTCTCTTCAAAACATCTTTTTAACCTTTATTTAATCAACGCCCTTTTATTGTAACCTGGCCTTTATAGACTGTCGTCAGCAATCCCTCTTTATTTGATGTTGGTGCAGAGTTTAATGCATGCTGATAAATTTCTCTCGAGGCCTCCTTTATATGAGGGATGAGAGCTCAGAATTAGTTAATCTAGGAGAAATCTATAAGACGTGCTTTCATCAATTGCACCGAGCATAATCTTAACTCAACTTCTAGTTACACAGATCAACCATTTCTTTATCACTTTTGAGAAAAAATCATTTTCATATATATTTTCGTCACTGTAAAGCTTTACTTTGATAATTCCATATCTAATCTACTTATTTTTTAATTTACCCACTTGCCTTTTTCTTTCTGCTAGTGCTGATTGATCACGCTGTCCAGAACTTGAAAGTTGGCTTTGAGCTTTTAAGCCAGTTGTTGCTGCAGGAATATGTCAGATACCGAGGCTTCCAATTAGATAGCTTTGAGCTTTTCCTGTCAGGTCGGCGGAATCAAATTGCGCTTATGCGAGAACGTCTTCGTGAGACTGAGCAGGCCCGAATTGCAGCTGCAGATGAGTCTGTTTCTGAAAGATCTAGAGAGGCAGAAGGACGGGTTCAACAGCATATAGCGCAAGGCGATGAGATGGAAAGTCAAAAACAGAGTGCAAGTAGCCCTAATGATTTTGCCGCAAGCACTCTTAAAGATAATGCTCAATTTGCCAAAGTGAAATCCTCGATCTTGCAGGGCAATAGAGACGGGATTCGTGAGGCTGGAGCTGAAGGTGAGCGAGTCTCTCTGGCCCAGGGGGTCATAAAGCTCGCTGAAGGGTCTGAAAATTCCCTTGTACGAGAATCACAAGAAACGGAAAAGTCAATTGAGGAAGTAGACGAAGGTTTGGACGAGGAGGACGGTGATGAGATGGAGATTGTAGATGCTGCCACTCTGGAACAAAGACGAGCTCGCCTTGCGGCCGAAGCAGCTTCGACCTCATCGGCCTCTATTTCAAAAAACACAAACCAGTCTTCTGTCACCCATACACTGAGCAAGCAAGAGGATTCCAGTACTATAGTCGTGGAGGAGTTGGCAGAAGAGACCGGATCTTGCTCACGTCATGGCGAAGGTAACGAAAACATGACGGATGTTAATGATTGTCTTGAGTTGGAGGACTCACAGGAAGAAAGTGGGAAAAGGCTGTCATATGATTCTGTTCGAATTAAATCTGATGGGAGCGACAAATTTTCATCAACTGATACTTCTATGAGAAAAGATGATGCTGATATAAAGACAACCAAGGACGCGAGGGAGTATGAGGATGATACAAAGTCTTCTGCAGGTATTACTGCGCCTCAACTGGCCGGACTTGTCTCTTCTTCGCCTGACGATTTGGGCTGCCTAACCTTCTATGATATCCTTCTAGTTGACATATTGCAGCGGCTCGCCAGGCCTGGGATCAAAGAATCGTAAGACTTATCATTAGACATAAAAAGTTTCTTCCATACTATTTATATCCCCTTTGCCTTTCTAGCCAGCCATCTTTCATTTAAAAATGAAAACAGTTCATCCTTACACTGGTGCATTTTTAAGTCTATATTATTACTCGATTTTTATTCGATTCACTTTACCCTCTTTACTCTCCTTATCCTTACACTATTGAAAGTGAGTTATCCACTTTCTTCCCGTCTACAGCCTCGATTTGGACCATCAGCTTGGCTTTTCAGACCAATATATGCGCTATTTCTAAATTCTAGGAAGCATTTAGGATAAACTTGGATTTTTTGCACTTTTTGGACTTGTCCTGCTTAACTGAAATTTGCGCATCTTGTTATGGAGTAAATTATATGAAAACAAGCCTTCAAACTTTTCGTGTTTAAATAAATCGAATGCAAATAGGAGGCCAGAGTATCGTCAATTAATTGAAATACTAACTAGTCTTGATAATTTACTCCTCCAGCAAAAATAAACTAGGATGCAGGCATGTATTTGGGGATAAGGGCCTGGATAGTATTCCTAATTTTCAGGTAATTCATGCTTTAAACGAGGCTTTGTTTTTAAATACTCGTCATCTATTCTGCACAAATCTTTGCATAAGCCTGATCTTTATCGAAGATATAAAGGCCAAGATCGTATGGCCTTTTGTGTGGTCGCAGTCTTCTTTCGTTGTATAGAGGTTGTTTGATTTTGTTTTCGCAACTTGGTCATGTTGGTAAGAAGATTTAGAGGAACGCATCTAGTCCGGAGTCCACTGCATGTATGATGATTTCTAAATTCGGACCATGGACGTGGTACATTCCCAGACGTTTCGTCGGCCTCGTAGTCGGCATCGCCAGTCAGTCAGCACCACACAACAACTCGTTAAAGAGACAAGTGAAGCCGATCCTTTGACCTAGTGTGTGCTAAACAGTTGTGGTATCTCTCCTGCTCTAAGCTATTTACATTTCCTATATCCTCCTATCACATCTTTACTGTTACAATTGTTACCGTGCTTATTTCGAAGTAGTATGGTGTGAACCTTGCACACTACACACTGGCGTTCTCAGCCCCCTTACCCTTATGCTGGGAATGTTAACCAGAGTCTGTCATATTGTTACGCAGTCCTCCTTCCTTACATATCACCATAGTCTCTCTTGCCCCGTAAGATCCGTCTGTCATCTGCCAGGTTTACGTATTTCACTCGATCCTTGCCACGCCATCTGTGCTACTCGAGGCGTTACTAACCCTCCCCTGGGTCTGGGTGAGTGATTCGAGGCTATAGCCTCTGAGTAAGTCTCATCATCAAGCCTTTGCTACATGGACCACATCTCTGGTAAAAGCAGGCCTACTGTCAGTCAACTAGCTCCAGTCTCCGCCGCGTCTAATACTGAGTCTATGACTTGCTATGCCTTTGTCTTTTGTGTGCCAACCCACGTGAACCGGGGAGATAGCAGACGGATATTACGGGGCAAGAGGGAGATTGTGATAAGACGTATGGAAGGAGGACCGCGTAACAACTATGATCAGACTATGATCAACATTCCCAGCACAAGGGTGAAGAGGGGGTGAGAATGACAGTGTGGAGTGTTAAGGGTTTTCATGAATGCCGCTTAGAGGAGCACACCAAACTACATCTAAATAAGGATGGTAAAAATTGTAACAGTGAAGGCATTATAGGAGGATATAGGAAATGTGAATAGCCTAGGGCAGAAGGGGAGATACCACAACTGTCTAGCACACGTTTGGTCAAAGGATCGGCTTCATTTGTCTCTTTGACGAGTTGTGTGGTGATAAGAATTGCATACTCACGATGCCGACTACAATGCCAACGAAACGTCTGGGAATGTACCCTAACTACGCCCACGGTCCTAATCTGGAAATGATTAAGCATAAAATGGACTCCGGACTAGTCTTCCTACCAATATGACCAAGTTGCGAAAACAAGGTTAAACAACTTCTAGCCTGATTTTTAGTTAGATTTTTTGTGAGGCCAACAGATAAAAATGAATTCTTATACTTTACTGATTTACTTTTCCAAATCCTATCATATCAA